TATCCACTTTAGATTAGAACTAACATTCCTTGGTTATGGAAAAGATAAAACTTTTTGTATGAAGCACCATTGTTTAAAGTAAGGAAGGCTATGTATAAAATAGTTCTGTGGCAAATTCTTTTTTCAGCTTGTGTTTTGAGGAGACTGAATGAAGCCAAATATTTCTAGGGTCCTTGGGCCGTTAATGGTACTTGTGCTGTGGTAAGCTGTTAGTACTTTTCATCATCTTGCATGAGATTATAAAATCAGCAAAAATCTCACAGATAATTATGTTTGCAATTGTGGAATACATTAAGTGTTTTGTAAAATACTGCTAGAGATGCAACTATATATGGGAATTCAGTTTTCTCTTTGATTTTTTTAAAAATGTTGGTTGGGTAACCTCATGTAATGAAATGCATATATGGAGCACTACGTGACTACAGTGGAGTTATGTTCCTTTTAGTTTATCTTGCTAGTTTTACTGGAAGTTTAGCTACTTTTTCTTATGGCATTATCTTCTTCTGTTGAAAGATACTCTCTTGTTTTAAATGCTTCATAACATCTAAAATAGTGATTTTATTTAAAAAAAAATGTTTCCCTGTAATGGTATGTTTAGCAATCTGTTTAGAGATGTTATTTGAACAAATCTAGGCCTTAATTACCATAACATTTTGCAGACATGGTATTCATTATGATTTTCTGTTTTTCACTGCTAAGTTGAAATAGGAATTTAAATTCCTAATTTAAAAGGATAAAAAATAGAAAGGTGGGTGGAACTTTATTAGGGAAACACAGTGCTTTTTTTGTTAAAAAAATAAAAAGGTGCTGCAACTCTCATCTTGGGGTCACACTTTTACACTAAAAAAAATTTCAATTCACCAACTTTTTTTGAAATAAAGAACTTATTTACCTTTTGCACGTAGCCAGTCACTCTACACACATATAAACATAATGGTCACCGCCAGCGGTAAGCACTCAGCACGCGACCACACAACCAATCCCAAGCCGAGCAGCTTCCCAAGCTGAGCAGCACCCTCACAACCAGTGCGGACACACAAGCAGCCCGCGTGCACTATTTTAATGATTTTTGCTGCCGACCTGCTACGCCCAACAGGGCGATTCAAAATCACTTGGAAAAAGCCACTGGAAAAAATCCGTCAAAATAGGTGCCGGAACACCATTCCAGTGCGTTCTATGACAAAAAAAAGCCCTGGGGAAACATATACTTTGATTTGAACTTAACATCATACAAAGAGAGATTCTATCCATCCTTCTGTTTCAGACTATATGTTATATTCTTCATGTGTAACAACCTGCATTTTAAGAGCAGTCCCTTGTTAACTGCCCAACACTAGCAAATTTCAAGATTATAGGCATCAGTGATCTTCACTTGAATATCAGTGAGCAGGTAGAGTGTTCATTGGACTTTTGGACATCTTCAGTGGGAACTGAATTAGGCAACCAGTAAGAGATGTTCCACATAATTTTTGTTTTGAGGAATGATGATTACATTGTCCTCTTCCTCCATCTTATCATCACAGCAACAACCCTTTGAGGTAGATTGGACTGAGAGTCTGTTACTGGCCCAAAGTCACCCAGTGTGCTCCATGGCTGAATGGGGTTTAGAGCCCAGATCTCCAGTCCCATACCCCTAACCACTACATCACACTGGCTGTTCTGTTTATGTGTCACACACAAATCAGCTAACAGTTTAGAGGAATTAAATATTCAGATTAGTAAATACCCATAAGTAAAGGTAAAGGTTTCCCCTTGATGTTAAGTCTAGTCATGTCTGACTCTTGGGGGTGGTGCTCGTCTCTGTTTCCTAGCTGAGGGAGCCAGCGTTTGTCTGCAGACGGTCTCCGTGGCCATGTGGCCAGCATGACTAAACACCAAAGTGCACGGAATGCTGTTACCTTCCCACCGAAGTGGTACCTTTTTATCCACTTGCATTTGCATGCTTTCGAACTGCAAGGTTGGAAGGAGCTGGGACGGAGTAACTGGAACTCACCCTGTTGTGCAGATTCAAACCAGCGACTTTTCGATCAACTAGCACAGCAGTTTAAATCACTGCGCCACCTGCATTCCTTAAATACCCATAAATTAGTAAATTCTAACAGAAAACTGGAGTAGTCTTTATATGTGTATTCTCTCATGTTTCCTGAATATGCTTCTCCTGAATTAATTTGAAGATCAAGTAGTTGAAGTATAGCACCCACTAAAACTCTCACATGTTTGTTACATAGGCATGAAATATTGGAGAACTGGCTCTAGATCAGTGAGTGTGTTGCTGACAAAAACAGAGTCTATTTTTTTCTTCAACTGCCTGGAAAGAACTCTTTGTGATACTAAATAGGAATGTATATTGAACTTAGTATGCCAGGCCCCTAGACCACTGCTTGGAAAATACTGTGTCATCTGAGATTACCGATCCATACTCTTGAGGGAAAGAAACTAAGTAAATATATTCTCCACTTAATACTTATTAGCATAAATTTCTAGTTCATTTGAGCTGAAATATATCTAAGGCAATCTGGTTGTACAGGAAGCTTTGATGAACTAATGCATTCAGCTTAGTGCAATTAACTAAGAACTGAGGAGGGGAAAGGCTTGTCTTTGTTAGTGTGCTACATGTGATCGAAGAATAAAAGCACGGAATTATTTCCTTACCTTTTTTTTGGAATTTCACTTAAAATATATTATTGTGAATATATTTAAATATACATTTAAAATTATTTAAATATACATTTAAAATATACCTATAAAATGCTTTACTTTCATATTGGTATCATCTGGGTGAAATCCAGCTAGCATTGCTACACCATTGGAAAACTTCCATTAGCGGGGAGAGGACAATTATCTTTTGTCCCCTACAGTTTCCACTCTACCCCATAATCTGCTCCAGAGCTTGGGATAACTGTTGAATCAGATTTTGAGGAGACACAGGGTTCAGAGGAGCAGGAAAGGAAATTCCTCATCTAGGTCAGCTTTACATAGAAAACTGTTGCTAAGAAAAATAAAATATATTGGCAGTACAATCTAATGCCTGTTTCTTGCAGTTAAGCTCCACTGGTTTTCTGTGGGACATATCTCCAAGTAAGTATAGACAGGTTTACAGGAGCGCTCTCATTTGAGTCTAGATGCCAATTCCTGATAAAATCTGCTAGCATGCACTCTGTTTTCAAATTATTCCTTTACAATGAATACATCCGTTGATCACTTTTCAGGGAAGAAATAGTTGTTGTTTTTCCAGAAAAGGGAGGATCCTTTGGGGAACATTGAGTGTGTATTACTTTTTCAGAGCTATTAATTATATTGTTTAAGTAAATGCTGATAGAAAATGAACACAATCATCTTTGTGGCATTATTATATAATACACATAACTTTTTTTAGTAATATTTATTCCTTTGGGGGATTATGGAATCCCACTTGCACTTAAAAGACTTTCAAGATGTACATAGCTAAGCTAGTGAGTATCTTAAATCATATATCTGCCTCTGTTGTTGCTTTCACTGGCTAACAGAGGCCACTTCCACAGAGGAAATTATAATTACTTTCTCTCCCTTCCTTTTCCTGTACTCATCACAGGAGGGAGAAAAAAAGAGGAAAATCTAAATAGCACTTCAAAAATAGTACAGTTTTCTTCTTAGTTCTGCCACTGAATGACATATATTTCACAATAGTTGAAAAATCACAGAGTTAACCCAAGTTTAACTGATGATGTCATTTCTGACAAGAACTTTTTATTGCTTGTTTATTACAGCATTTGAACATGAGTCAAATTCAGATATTTAGCTTTCTGGAATGTGCAAGAAAGTTTGCAAAGATTTCTGAACTGGAACCACAAGGCCATGCAAGTTTCTACATTCTTTTTTTCCAGACTGCAAAGCATACAGTGGAAAGGTGGTGGGGGCGGCAGCCACTATACACAGTCATCATGAAGGAAGAGGGACATGTTGAATGGTTTTCCAGAATACCTTTTACCTTCTTGTACAGAAAGGAAATAGTGCTTCTCTGTGGCTCAGTCTCTCTCTACTGACAGACTCTTGTGCGAAGGAGCACAGTGTATCAGAATTTGCCTCTCTGAAAGCAGTTAGAGGGGACACTGTATATCTTCCCCTTCCCACCTGCAAGCAAAGCAAACAAAACAGTGAGAGGTGTGGTTGGTTTCTTGCCGTTTCCCTGGCCCAGTCTGGGAAAGCATGCCTGGTTTGTCTTCTTGCTTTTTCAATGCCACAGTGATCATAATTGAAACCGTTTCAGAATTGCAAATTGAGAAAGCTCCTGCAACTGGAGAGTGTATTGAGACAATGACTCGGAGTTATCCTTGCCTTTCTCTTGCCTTACAAAGTAAAAGTTCTTTTAGCAACTGCTCTGTAATTATCAGAAGTGGTCTAAAGATACTACACTTTGGCTTACCTGCCAAGACCTAGCCATCTTTGCTACCATTTCTGCTCCACACCTCTAGCAGTGGGGTTCTGGAAGGGACCAGTTTCTCTCACGTATGCTGTAGTGTGAGCACATAAGAAAACCCCACCATTTCCAGCTGAAAGGAGGGCTTGGAAGTTGTTTTAATCTTTCAGCTTGATGTTTGATAAGACTCCATCTTTCTCCAAGTACCTTGACAAGCACTGAAGAAACTAAAAAGCCCTATGTTACTTGATGCTGGATCTTACTGAAGTGCTTTTTAAGGTCAGCAAGATACCACATTCAGATACACACAGTATGTTCCCTGTTCACTCTTTGCTACCCATCACAAACTCTGTGCCTGGTAAAAATCTGAATAAGTAGTATATAGCAGGTGTCAGTTTCCAATTTCATCTCCATTCATTTTCAAAAATGACCTAAAATTGTGACAGTTATAAAATATTTAACTGTCACCCCAGTATAATATAATTTCTGATCCCAAAACTTCTTTTAATAGGATTCTAGCCACTTTATAGGATTCTAGGCAGTTCTAGCTAATCTGCTTACAAAAGATCAGGTAACAAGAGCTAATCAGTTGTGATCTCTTTAGTTTCAGCAGACCATGAAGACAACATTCTGTGGATTGCTATGGCAGGCACACATCAAATTTGGGCCCTCATGTTGGAATGTGGAAAACTACCCAAGGGAAGGTAAGCTAGAATGTTAGACCTGTCACAGAAACAATTGGTCTGGAGCAGGATCTTGGTGTCATTAGTTGTTACTTCTTGCTAATGCCTTTTGTAGTTTTCCTTTCTCATGCTTTGCTTGTACATCTGAACTGTTTTGATTTAATGGGCATTTGGTCCATATGAGCTGCTTCTTCCATCAAATCAAATGCAGCTCATGTTCAGCATGCCTTGCTTAGTATAATTGGAAAAACATGGATGAAGAGATAAGGGGACAAAGTTTCTTTGTATTTTACTGGAGCATTGGTAGCAGAGGATCTAGTTTTAACTCAGGAAAAACAGAAAGGGAAATTTCTTTCCTTTGCTCACAGGATTAAAATTGTTTAATATAAGTGACAGTATAAAATAACTAGGTGGGACTAATATAATTGCCCCCTTGTACTCCTAGTGACTTAAAGAAAGGAACCTGCCTCCGCTTTGCTGGGAGTGGAAACGAAGAGAATAGAAACAATGCATATCCCCTCAAAGCAGGCTTTGCACAACCTTCTGGTCTGTCTGTTGCTGCTGAAGAGCCGTGGAACTGTCTTTTTGTAGCAGATAGTGAGAGCAGTTCTGTGAGAACAATTTCCCTTAAAGATGGAGCTGTGAAACACCTTGTTGGAGGAGAAAGAGATCCAATGGTGGGTTAAATGTATTTTTCTTGATGTTTCCTTTAGGTCCTACTCAAGACTTCCAATAAAAACAAAATATTGTTAATATAAATCCTGTTCGCTGTGGCACTCTCTTGCACTCTTCCTTGCCATTCAGAAATTGTAATTTTCAGTACAGCTGTGTTGGTCTGCTGTGGATAGTTCAAAGCTGGGTAAGCATCAGGAGCAGCCAGAAAAAATACCCCAACAAGAAGGAAGATTTTGTTGTCCACCTTTTTCCAAGATGTGTATTAGGAAAAGAAGCTGAGTTTGCTAATATACAAACTGGTAAACAAGCAGTTTGCTGCAAAATAACATAAGTTTATACAGTATTTTTAAGTTGCCCTAATTTTTGAAGAGAAAGACATGTATAACTAAATGATGGTCAGAAAAGCATTACAGATTGCTAATCATCTTTTTAACACTTATTTTAAAATACATTTTACAAATTCACAGCATAAAGTCACAATGTTCACACCAAAATTAAAGCAGTGTTCCTTAAGATCTATCTTTAATCAAATTTACCAAAAGGGAAGAGAAAAACAATCATATTAGTCAGTATGCAGTATATATGACTGAAGGGCATCTGGAACCTTGTCGTTCATCTTTTTTGTGATTGGGAAAACAGGCCAATTTAAGTTCTGAGAAGAGAGTGCATGATTCATACCTTTTCAGCACCTTTCAGTATGAGTGCTACGTCAAAGAGAAATCTGGTATGTCAGGGTTTAGAACTGAGGTCTTTTACCAGCAAAGTTGGGACACTTTTATATTGAATAGCATTCCCAAATTGCCCTCTTCCCCCAAAAATACACACATCTGTACACATTTGTACACAGCCAAATTGGTGCTGTGAAGTTGACATGGGAAGAAGTTCTCTTGGTAGAGACATAACCATGTAACCATTGCCGGCATGGAATTGAGATATTATATTTGGTTAGCAACATTTGGGTTTTCTGAATCTAGTTTCATGTTGATAGTTCCATGATGATTGCTGTACTTTACTGTTTCTTTGTGCCTTCAGAGTAAATCAGCAAGGAGCATAGATGATTTCACAAAATTGCCATATTTTTAATATTGATGGTACAATCCTACACATGTCTGCTGAGAACTTGGTTTCATTGTTGTCTCAGCTACATGCATGTAAGATTGCACCTTCATACCATTTGCTACTGTTACAAGACCTGCTCTCTTTTTCAACTCCTTCTAATTTAAACAAGCTTCTGACACTGGTGCTTTAAAACTTTCCTATTTTTTTCCTTTGAAAAAAAGAATTTATTTGCTTTTGGTGATATTGATGGAGCTGGGATAAATGCGAAGCTGCAACATCCCTTAGGAGTAGCCTGGGACAAGAAAAGAAACCTCCTTTATGTTGCAGATTCTTACAATCATAAGGTAAGCTTTCATAATGCAGCTTTTATTTTTTCAGTAGTAGAAAACTGTGTTAAATTAATTTTATCTCTTCCTTGTACATTGTTATAGTTACTTTTTTAATTTTAATACTGCTACATTATACTCACGCAGGTTCTTTTTCCTCTGTCAGATCTCCCATAGTAGCCATTGCATAGTGATGACCTGGACAGTTTCTTCTATTGTCAGGTGTGCCCACAACACAAAGAGATCACCTAACCCAATATATTGGCACCAGTAAAGGCTGAATTCACATATGAGCCCCCAAAATCAGCTGGTATGCTGCTGACTACTTGAGGTCCCATAAAGTATTATGTGCAGCACATACATTCCATAAAGTATGGAATTCATACACAGCAGCAGAACCCAGTACAAAGGAGAAGGTGTGGTGGCAGCTAAGGGGCTTCAGAGGGGGAGGGAACGCAGATGGGTCAGCTTCAAAGTACCTCAGCCTGGCAGCCCCAGTCTCTTGTCCCCACCCCACTTGCAGCTCTCTGTACACCCTTCTGAGGTCACTTTTTCAGTCTCAGGCAGTTGGCATGGTTCATTCATCGCCATCACCCTCTCACTGTGAGAATGAAGTGAACAGTCAGTGCAGATCAGTGCAGTGCAGCTCCAGGATTGGAGAACAGTCATTGCAATCAGTGCAGCTCCAGGATTGGAGTTCAGTTTCCAGCCTCTGATCTGGGAATCTAAAGTAACCCATTTCCCCCGGATGGTGTGTTGGGGCCTGTTATTTACCATTCCTTTGGCAGGCCTTTTCCTCCAGCAATTTCAGCAGCCGCCCTATTTCTTCTGTAAATGATCAGTGGGGTGGCTTCCTTTAAAAAAATACCATGTAAGTTGTCCAAATAGCCCTTCAGGTGACATGCAAACTCTTACTGGTCTGTAACATCTTATCAAGTGGGAAGTTACATACTAGGAAAACATCTCTTTATGTCAGAGTCAAAGAAGAGAAGTTGGCAATATTCTGCTCTTTGAAGGCAGGCATCCAGCATACTGTGTCCCCAAGTGCAGTGCTTTTTACAAATTACCGAACACTATTATTATATGGGGAAATTAAATAGGTGTAATTGGGGGCATTCTAGTGGTGTTTAAATCTCAGTGCTGCCTCTTGGTGTTGCTAGCTCCTTGTGAAGAAAAGTAAATTTTCTTCTATTTATATGAGCTTAGTGGAATAGGTAGTCAGTTCCATTTCTTTGTCCTGTTCTTGGTTTTTGGTAAACAAGGGTTAAGTAGGACACAATTGTGCTTATCACAGCTGGCAACAGGGAGATACAGCCAGTTTCAGGGGTGGGACAGTGTATGATAAAATGATAAATGCAAGTTTGTTACACTTGTGTGTTGTAGAAATGCACTTGCACAAAACACATATGCATGTCATCTACATCAGTTATTTGGTTTATTGCATTAAAATGTAGTGTATGAGGCAAACCTTAAGCTAATTTCATTTCACTGCCAACATAATATGGCTAGGATCATTGTAATACTAGCCAATCTTAAATCGTGTATTATCTGATGATGAGCCTTCCCCCCCCCCCACTTTTAATTTTGATTAGTGCTTTGTTAAATACTGAAAAACTCTGCTCTAAATTTCCTGACCAAGCAGTCATGGGAGATCAGTCTCATTCTAGTGATTTGTTTTTGAAGATTCTTCCATTAATGCCAAAATGGAAACAATAAAACTTGTTATTATATCATCTTGGACTATGCATTGTTCCCTTTTTTGAATTAAACAGTCTGCTGTGTTTTGTTTTTCTGTAGATTAAATTTGTAGATCCCAAAATGAAGAATTGTGCTACACTGGCAGGTACAGGAGAAGCAAGCAATATCATTGGCTCCAGTTTCACCTCCTCAACTTTTAATGAACCAGGGGGCCTTTGTGTTGAAGAGGGAGGGCGCTTGCTCTATGTTGCAGACACAAACAACCATCAAATTAAAGTGCTGGATATAGAAACCAAAATTGTTTCACTGGTAAGCCACCTTTACAAAATGTTATATAGCACTTTTATGCAGGGAAAAGTATTATTTTTGGTGATATTTCATCAGATATCCCAGTGCTTCTTCCTGGACAGCATGAAACATGGCACTAAATGCATTCTTACAGTCTTTTATAATGATCTGGAAAACAGCACAGCTTTTGTGTTAAGGATATCCTGTTAGGCTTAAAATAAATGTTCCATCGGTTTTACGAGGCTGGAAAGGACTCTTGTGCAGTTGGAGAAAGCTGAGGTACAGAAACATCAGCTTTCAGTGGGTTGTTGAAATTGGATATGGGGAACCTGATTAATGTTTCATTTCATTTAAACAAATGACCTTGCATTTGTATTATATCTGTATTATCTACTTCTTCCTTCCATAAATAGAATTAAATAGGCCCCAGCATGTGTGCTCTTGTGAAGAAAATGAATTAGATAGACATAGTATTTTGTATATGCTCTAAAGTCTTTTATTAAATAAATAACCTCTCTCATCAGGGCCAATATCCTGCATTGCCACTTTTCTTCCTCTAGTTCTGTTTTGTTAGTCAAATGCAATGCTCATGCAGTAGGAATTAACAGGTTCTAAAATATGTATGGAAAGAAGAGAAAATGCTCATTTTCATAATTGACTACATCAGCAGAGCTCCCATCTGAGAGTTCTGCTGATTTAGCCCATTCCAAAAAGTAGTGTTGCTGCTCATATTTCTCAGAAACAGCTGGTTCCCGTTACTTTAGGTGTCCATTTCACTACCACAGGAATACCATAGGAAATCTGAACCTCATTTTTTTATTGAGTTAGCAAGCTCCTGCAACTGAAGCAGGAGGATGATAATATTTCTGCTCTGGAAGATGTAAATATCACATCTGTACCAGTGGAACATCGTCCAGGCCCTGGTATCTCCACTATAATCACCTACAGGTGCTTTCTCTTGCTTCTGTCAACCAGAGATTGCACCAGGTCTCATAATAGCAAACTCAGGAATTGCCTGATCTAAGGCACTTGGACCATTAACCAAGACCAAGGTCATAATGGGTGTTAGACAATCTCATACCTTTACTTTCCCAAAGTTATCGTTGTGATATAAGGAAGGATGGATGGGGGTGTGAGGGAAACCTTATGGTAATAGAGGTCTGAGTCTTAACTTAAATCATCATTTGAAAACAAGGATAAAAACTGTAGATTCCCTGTTCACAACACTGACAAGGAGTAATTAAAAGCTACATTTCTCAAGCTTCCTAATGAAACTTCAGAGGATGCTGAGGAGTTTTCATTGCTCTCAAGACATCTGGAAATTCATGGAAAGTGCTCATCACCATCAGACCTCTTCAGGTCTAACAATATCCCCAAACGGCTCACTTTTTTCTTCAATGAAAGTGCAACTTAGCTAGAATTAAGTGGATACAATAACAGGTATTGAGCACAGAAGATCATAATATCAGGCATAAAAGATGGCATTAGGCCCATAATAGTTAGTGATTGCATAATATCTTATATATGCTGACCTCTGTATAAAACTGGAATGCTAACACTAAACAATAATTCTGACCTCTATAAGTCTAGTCTTACCATCTGAAATTACATGAGGCCTGACTCATTTTTATTAAGCGTTCTTAATAAAAATGTTTCATTTTTGTTGTATCAGTGCTAAAAGGACCATGGATTAGAGATTAGAGCAGTGGTAGAATCTCAAGTCCATGGCCATTTCTATCCCACACTCTTTCCCTCAACCAGTGTGGTGATTTGGCCCGTGTGTGTGTGCATGCATTTTTCTAAAAGGTTGGCACTAAGGAGTTGGTTACTGGCAGTAAGAGCCTCAACCTAGTATAGGGTGGGAGGCGGGAGTAGTATAGAGTGCCATACTGCTATGAATGTCTGTAAATGAACATCCTTAGTTCTCTTCACATTGGAGACTTCAAGCCAAGAAGTTGAACCTCAGCCAAAAGGGGCCAAACCTGTCCTGCCTGGGGTCCCAATCTCATGCGCCTCAGAAGGACATGAGCCTTTCCCCTTGCCCCACCACTTTTCCCTTACCAGCCCAATGATAGCTTGGTGGTTTGAAGGGTTTTGTGGATTATTTTCTACATTCTAAAAAGTTAAGAGGTTTCTTCTAAGTTATTGGCAGTAAGACTTATGCTGGTATTTTCACCTTGTCTTTTTTTCCTTTGGCCCCTTGCATTGCTAAAGTGCAACTCCTGGCAATGCCTCCAAAATAGAATTCAGCTCTCAAACTGAAACAGGCTCTGCACTGCTGAACTAGATCATTTTGCATTCTGAACATAAGGAATAAGGCCTGAATTTTCTTTGCAGCCGCTAATATTCCATTAAAGTTTATATAAAGGAAGATATTGTCCAGTTGTTCAAAACTCAAAATTTAATTTTAATGCTTACATTTAATAGGAGCAATTGAAACTGTTCACTATATTTCATAAATAGAACACCTACAATACACATTTCTGTAGATTTTGGTTCTGCTGTACTAATATGTACAAGCAAAACAGATCAAAGGAATGCATTCATCTCAATGATGATGGCCCTTATCAACTATTAAACGGCTGCTGCTTCCTCAGCAAATTCAAATGAATTCAGCTTTACTATCATTTAGTATCATCTGACATACAAATGTTCATAGAATATATTAGGTCATTTTAACTGAATACTGAAGTTGACAAACCTACAGTGGCATCATGTTGTAAAACTACCAGGAAAAGAAATGAATCTCCTAAGATTAGTAACATACTCAGTGTCACCAATAGTAGTTCTCTTAACAGCTATTTAGACACTAAAGCATGTGCATCTAAACAAGTCAGAACTGCCAAGAAAAGTAGTATTTATGCTTTTGCTTGGCATGAAAGTTGATAAATACACTGGAAAAGTATAAACTATGCCAGATTTTAGAACATCTCCTTAATAGTAAGTAACTTGTACCAAACATCTTTGTTTAAAACATGATTATTCATGTCATTTTAAGAAATTTAAAAAAATGTGTGATTGAATAGACCACTTGGCCTCACAGCAAATAAGACAGTTGTTTTGCTTGTGTGCTTTGTATTCATCTGTTATTCAGGCAGTTTAGAACTTGATCCTGCAAAGGCCAATGACCTAATCATGATGTTTATTGAATAGTCAAACATGCAAGCTCCTTTTGAATATGGGAACTGCTGTATGCCAAATCTTTCCCATTCTCTGCAATGCTATGATTTCATCTCTGTATACTATCACTATGGCATGTAAGAAACTGCCACTGACATAATAAAGAAGGTGAAACATGTGTTTGGCTTGAATCCAGTTTTTTCCATTCCTTTACATATGTTGATCTTGGTAGTTTCATATTGAAGGCAGCAGCCGTACCAACTCAGAAGATGCTAGATATAGATTGTTCAAGCAGAAGAAGCCAAATACAATTATGGCGTGTTGTATCCACTTTCCTTGCAATAAGCCCCATTGATCTAAGTAGCCCTGTATAGGTTTGCACTGATAGTAGCACACTTGGCTTCTGAAAGACAATGTGGTTTCTGTACAATAAGGGTACGAAACTGATCAGTGCAACTTGCTTTTCTAAAGCTCAGAATATGAGATTAGACTTTCAAATGAATATTGTTTTCTTGTCTTTTGATAGCTACCTCTGCTAAAGGTTGATCCAGCAGACACTGTAGATAGCCTGTGTGTACAAAATGTTAATACAGCAAAACTACCAAAGCTGCCTAAATCTGCTCCAAACCTTCAGCTACCTTCACGTACTGTAAGCCCTGGACAAGCACTTCACTTCACCCTGAAACTCAGCCTTCCTCCAAATACCACACTGACTGGAGAAGCTCCAAGTGCATGGTTTCTTACATCAGAAGGTAAAGTACCCCAGTTGCTATTTAGAGTGAATATGTGCTGAATCTTGCAGTGTTCTGTCTCTTAACCAAGGTAATCGTCACCATATTTTTTATTTTGATGGTAGTAAGATATGTCCAACAATGCAAAGCAATACTGTATACATGATGGCCTAGTTAAAATGTGTGTGTTTAAACCAAGACCTCAATTTCTAATTGAATCAAAAATGTACAGAGTCAGTATAACTTTTGTATATGGTTGTTTGTTGTGTAGTTTTAAGGTCAACATTCTGAAAAATGACTTATGGTTAGATTTTGCTCAGATTAGGGATTCTCATTCTTCACCCTCAAATAGAACTAGCAACTCGGTTAGATCTTTCTATTGCACAAGTGTTTATGTAGCAATACTCGCACAGCAAGCTGTACAGCTATGTGCAGAATTGGTTGTGCAAACTGTACTTGTGCAAATGCAATTTCAGCTGAGTTCTCTTGTGCATCATGTAAACCCTTGTTTTTGCTAATGCAACATTTTCACTAGTGAAATGGCAAAGTTCTTCAGTATTTCAGTATCTGAGATGCTGAGGCATGTGGTGACGGCATACAAAAGCTTTAAATAAATAAAATGAATAAAAATAATTTTCCATTGAAATTACTGTGATTTTTTTTCCATTTACCTTCCAAAGTTTGAGACATAGTATCTTGATATGAGTTGCAGATAGAGGATTGAATCAAAAAGCAGTCCCACTTATAGAAGAGATGTTTCTGACTTGAAGCATGCTAAATGAGACAAGTAACCTTAAAAGTAAAAGGAGTATATCTGTTAATGAACCTCTAGAATTTATACATGGCAATAACCATATAAACCATTATTTGCATTGTAACACAACTTGTGAGACATTATGTTAACATCCTGCAAGAAATTCACCAACTCTTGTGAGAAGCGTTCATGGAACAGTACTAATGGATTTCTTCCTTCTTTGAATCCATATTTCACTTACAATAATACTATTCCAATAATAAATGAACTGAGAAATGCCAACATGTTCTTAATGCAGTCCTAAAAGAATAACCTTTTTTTTTTTCTAGGCAGCGAGTGGTTGCTTCAAGAACAGAACACATCTGGAGAAATTGAGGACATTTGTAAGCAGCCTGTAATCCCATTGCAAATACCCACAAGCTGCCTATCTACTGAAGCTGAAGTGTCAGTCAAAGTGTGCCTATATTACTGTAGCAAGGACAGCAGTGCCTGTATGATGGCAGGAATCTCATTCAACCAGCCTTTCCATATAGCTAATGTAAACCAAGGTAGCACAGCTCCAATTGAGCTCATATATGCATTTTAATCAAACCAAAGCAAAATAAGACACACTTGAAAACAACCAAGAAGATGCATTTGTGCACTTGTGGGCTCCTCCCCTTTTCTTATTTTTAAACTTATGGTCTTCCAGCAGAGTAACAAACTCAGCCATATATTTCAGTTCCAATTTCACCTTGAATGCCTATGAAAAATATGCTTCATCAGATGTAGTTTGAATGCGTTGTGCCAAATCATGAAAAAACAGAATACATTCTAGTCTTTAATTTTTAATAGTATAAACAATACCTGTTGAAGTGGGTTTGGGACACTGTGAATAGTTTCAACTGTCCCACCTTGAATGTAGATTCATAATGCTATAACCATTTATAAGAAATATATTCTGTGTATGGGCAGCCATACACAAAATCCCTAAGAATAGTTTTCTTCGTCAATAGATAATGTACAAACTATTGGGTTTTCCTAGATTATGAACAGTGTGTTCTCATCTTAGTATGAGAGGCATTTAAGAAATAGGCATCTTCAGAATGACCCAAAAATGCAATAGGCCTATTTTTATAAAAACATGGTCTGCTTTATAAAACTAATATTTATGCCTTATGTTTATGGAAGAGCTATTTATGAAAGGTCTAATAGTGGAAGCTAGTGGAAGCAGAGTTTGCTGCTTTATAAAATAGGAAAAATCTACATAACACTGGCATTCTGTATTTTTTTCTTACCTCTCTGCCCATTCACATATAATGGTGAAACTTCAGAATTTAACAGCTTTAGGCTAAAGTTACAGTATACTGATATTAGGATTTCTCATGGGGTTTTTGACAATGCTATGATAAAACAAAGGGAACATTAACCATCAAAGAGACTGTCAGAATGCATTAAAGTCTATGGAAAAAATCCATTTGTTTTATGAAATAGTACTCTTTCATAATTGATTTGTTAATGCATAAGTTCTGGCAAGTGTCCATTAAAACTGCTATTCACAGAAATAATTAATTGCTGAAATTCTTGGTGGATTTGATACAAAGCTCCAGTGAAAACTATCTTCAGATTCAATCACTGTCCTTATATATAAGCAGAAATGAAAAAAATAAAAATAAAAATGAATAAGTGCATTTTAAAGTGTTCACAAAACAGGATTTTTAAAAGAGGTATATTTGAAGAAATGATTCTTGCACAATAAAAACTTTGTGAATTCATTTGTATAACTTTCATCTGAACTTGTTCACATCTAAACACCTGGTGGTTAAATGTCTGATATTATTGATTGTAGATTTTGCCTTTCCTGCAGCTCTAAAATGTTTTGGAAGAATTATCAAAGGATAATTGCCAGAACTTAGGTATGGCTGGTTCAGGATCACTTGGTGACATAACTTAGAGTTAAAAGCTCATTCAGATCAGAAAAATTACACTATTCCTTCTAGCACTTTATAGAATTTGAATATTTCCCATTCTTGCGAGATTTCAGGTTTTTAAAAGTAAGTTAATACACGTGACAAAGGCATGGAGTGTTTTTTGTTATTTTGAAAGGCTTTTTTTAAAAAAGGAAATATGCTTTGTTCCATAGCAACAAGACTAGTGAAACTGACTGCCTTTTAATAATGTAACTGTCCTTTCCTTTTATACTGTTTATATTTTAATGCCTTCTTAGAGTCTTGGAACTAATTTATATATTTTCAGTCAGCAGATTTTTAAGAAGTTATTTGTTAGTTTCTGAGCAGAACAGTTCTCTCAACTCAGGAAATTAATGAAATTTTTCCATTCCTACTGGATTGGATAGTAGAAATGTTGATTTAATCAATTCCATGAATTCACAAAACGGTTTCCATTGTTTATCGGTAGAACCAAGAGTGTTGAAAAGCAGTATGGGCTACATAGCAGTATAGCCTTAAATTTGATGTGTGATCCCTTTATTGCATAAACATCAGGACTTAGGGACATAAAAGCTACTCTAGATTCTTGTGTTTAAATCTCATGAACTTTTGCAGAGGGGGAGGAGAATATAGGAAGGCTTTTCCCAGCCACATGCCCTCCAGATGTTATAGACCCCAGTTCCCAGAATTAACTGACTGTAATTGAGAGAGTTGACATCTAAATCATCTGAACATTGCTTCTGGTTTGAGAAGGCTGATAACACTCCATGAATAAGTTTTCTGGTAACATAATCAGAATTATTCTTGCTATTCAATCCCAATTTTAAAGTTATTAATCAATACTAGAGTATAAAATTAACTTTCATGTGAGTCTAATGTCTCTCCTCTTTTTTCATGATTAAAAGTGAGAAAATTGTTTAAAATATAACCAGTAAAGATAGCTAATAATTTCAACAGCAGTTGCATTCCACAAAAAAAAAAAACTAAAATTGCTTCTTCATCTTACATTATTTCCATTTAATGTGTTAGACCGAAAGTAGTTTTCTGTTCCCTGAAATATATTTCAAAATAATAGTACCAAAAAGTTTCAGAGCATTATTTATATATTTACTTACTTATTAGGTGTATCTTTTTCCTTTTCTACCAATGTAAAACTCAAGGGATTTCATGTGTGGTTTCTTGGTCATGTGCACAGACAATAACCAAACCGAGACACATGCAGTTGCCACAAAGTGGCTACATCGTGTGCCCTGGAACACCTTTGAAGAATTATTTTAATAGGATTTGCAGAACAATCCTATACCCGACTACTCAGAATTATATGGCACTGAGTTCATCGGGACAAATTCTGAGATACATGGATGTAACGATTGCAGACTTCACACCATGCACCCTCATTGGTAGTCCAGCTATATTTTTCAGCTTCTAAACCGATCAAGTAGCTTCTACTATTGAGCTGTTGTCTCTTAGAGCAAATTTGTAACATCATGATCTCAGCTCTGGCTGTAGTTTCAAGGGTTATTTACCCTAACTTATTTACCCGATAGACATAGGAACCATTTGTTCCATTTTCTGTCATATCACCTGAGTTCAAATATGTAAATCCATAGTTTTGTGATGTGAGGAGACCACAGTGAACCTTGTGCTCATGCTGTCCTCTCTTCTGCAGTTTATTTGCACATGCTCTAGCATCCAAGCCTGGCAGACAATGATGATGTGTTTGAAACAGTCTGATTGCAAAGCATGAATTATGAAGCTGGCTTGTTTAAATAAAGCACAGTTAATCTTAATAATAATTTAGGCTTCACATGACAGTACTAAAGTGTGGTAAATTTAAATCAAAAGCCTGAGGCTTACTGTTGCTTGCTCATCATGCTAAATTATGATGTACTGTGCTGAATAAAGGCAACCAAAAGTGACTACCTGGGTGTTTTAAAAACAAATGCACATAACTTACATCTCATACATATGGAAACACCCTCTTTAACTTTGTTGTTTGTTGCCCCTTATAACTTGCATTCATAAAATGGCTAATGGTTTAGTTTGAAGGAACTGGGCCAGTTCTTAGATTATGATGGTGTTGTTAAGGTTTCTTAAAAGTAATTTTCATTTAAGCTCTGCCAAAGTGCATGGACATTGTCAAGTAAGTGGTTCATAGTTAAAATGTAACTTCGGTGCTGTAATGAAGAAACTTTCCTTTCATCTAGCTCACTTTCCATTAAACCAGAATAACTTGAAGACTGCAATCCCCAATTAAGATAGGTCTGTTTTGTGATTGTTTGGACTCCTGTATTACTAGGAAAGCCCAAATTGAAGGCAATACTTCAAAAGAGAGCAAATTAGAAAATGATATGATTGGATCTCACAATGAACAACATGAACTATGTTTGGCTGTAATTTGTTTTTTTGTGATTTTCCATTTGATATTTTTAATGTTTATTCTAATGTACTACAAAATATTAATCACATAATCTACATTTGAAAGAATGCAATCAAATTCTGTATAAGTTGATGTTGCTTTAGAGGGTTTTACCATTATACTGTATTTTCAGCTTCGATGTAGAGAGCTGTTATGTTCCTTGTGGCACAGGTGTTCTTTACCTGTAGTGGTTCCTATTTTGCATATGAAAATGCTCAGATTTTAAGAGTTCTTTTAGTTGAGCTAACAATGCAGCAAGTCCCCCTTATCTTTGCTTCACTGGAGAAGTTGCATCTTACTATTTGGAACAAATCAGCAAGTGGGGACCAACAGATAATCTCTAGTGAACAATCTCTAGCAGTAGTATACATACATTTTGTTATAGTTCTTATTTCAGAACCACAAGCTTCCCATTTGTCTACCCATTTTTGGCCCATCCCTTCCACACCCCAAGTTTTCAACCTCTATGTTTTTATGTAGTGCAGATAGCTTGTTATACTTCAATATTTAAGCAGCTGGGAAAGAAAAATAGGAATGTTTTTCTCCCTATTCCATAAAAATTCACAAAAACAATATGTTAATCCAAGAAAGATATGATCAGCATTGAAAAAGCTTGACATTAGTATCTCTCACCAGTACTATGATGGCCGTTCTAATCTAGTACTGAAAACTTTCTGTGGCCTTGACCATTGGAGGCAGCAGTCCATAAGCTGCTGTGACATCCATTGACATACGTAAAATTCTTGTTCCCTCCGGCATGCTTACAAATATGTATTACTCTCTGCAAGTAATTCTGCCTAAGCAGGAAAGTGCTCATTTGTCCTTTCTCTTTGTGCTGCAACTCTTGTTGGTTTGACTCAGTTTGTTTTGCAGAATAAGGATGAGCTTGTATGGGAATGGTTCTCAGAAATACAGCCTATATTTTGTACTTGTTTGATTAAGTACCATTAAATGTTTTGTTAGAACAACTCTAACCCTGACCAAAAGCCAACTTCTGAAATAAAATAAATTGAAGGTAATGCAAAACTTACATTGTTCACCTAAGTCCCCATGCTCCAGTTGAGATGAAAAGTTATACAACACTGCATCCAAGACTTGCAGAGTCTCTTGTGATTCAGACATTGCAAAAAGCTGAGTGTCATCAGCTTCCTGATGGCACTTTGATCCAGTCCCCTAATGATTGTTCCCAGTGGCTTCAAAAAGCTGTTAAGTGGGAATAAAATGGTGTATATAGTTTTGTGTCTGTACAGTCTTGGAGATAATGCATATATTCTGAGCTAAGATCTTGAAATCCATGATTCCAGGCTCAGCATACCTGTGAACGAGGGTTGCCTTGGTGAAACCAATCTCTCAATTTTACCGTGTCCCATAAGAAACTCATCTTACAAACCTACTTAATCATAAGGACTGCTAAACTGATATATGTGAAACAGTTAATATTTCTAAAATTACACCTCATAAAACTAATACACATTAGTAGCAACAATAGTCATGAAAGTAAACTCAGCATTTTTAACCTACTTACAAGATAGGCATGAAGGTCACTCCTTGTTAAAAGTAAAGTTGATTTAGGGCCATGTTATTTTAAACAACTGCCTTAATTTTGAATGCTGTAGTACTGATTTATCATTCATCACCTTATATTAATGTCCACTTTCTATCCTGAACATTTTCCCTAGTGTGCATTTATTCATATTCTTGAGTTTTCAAATTATCATGCTGCACCCTCAAGGAGAATTTAGCAGCACTTAAATTTGAATTTCATGGGGGTTTGAAATACGAAAATATATACAGTTTGCAATTACTCAACAATCCACCAATTATTGGTACAGTCCCACAGGGATGCTTATAACTCTCTGAACTTGGAGAATTACAGGATCCTATGCAGAGTGGGAGTTGCACGGAGGCAAAGATTCCTCCTGGTCTGCCAAGCAGCTAGACCAATTTCCACTGCAGCGTTTCTGAGGGGGAGGAAAGGAGAATGAGATGCTGCCTGGATTGGTCATAACTTAGCAGCGCTGATCTCCCCTCCCTCTTCCCTGAAGCCCTTTTCCTTAAGGTCGCTGTTACAGCCTCAGAAAAGCATCTGAAACAGGTCTCTTCCAACTTCAGTTCTGGGAAGCCAAAAAGTCCTGTGGGCTTCTAGATGCTGTCTAGGGGCAATAGGATTTCTCTGCTGATCATTTAACATTCAAATTCAAATTTCAAATTGCACTGCAAGAGAAAGAGTTGATTTTCTTCCCAGGAAATATAACATGTGCCTATTTTCTTCTCTAGATTCCCCTATCATTACCAAATAACAGCATTTCATGGGTTTAGTATTTCCCAGACTATGTTAACAAAACACAATATTTTCCCATGCTATGTTAACAAGTCTTCTTCCAGTCTATCTGAACCTCGTATCTGATGTTAAAAATTTACCACAGCACTGGAAACACATGTTAATTTAAAAGTTAAAGAGAATCATATGTTAAAATACATTTCTTGCAAGATCTCTTTTCTTCTTGGGGTCTAAAGTTGGGATGGAAAACCTCTGCTTCTTCATCATGGCCTCTGTGCCATGAGGCACAATGAACGGCGGTCGCAAAGACTGGAAAATGGCGGACACTCTGCTCCTTATATAATGCTAGGGGGGAGGGGGAGCCAAGTTCCTGCCAAAAACCATTAGCTGTTAATCTTCCGGCCAAAGGCACTGCGCAGGCGCAGAACCCATATGTGTAACTGCACAGATGGCCACTCAAAGAACATCAGTTACAGGTAAGCAACCTGCTCTTCTCCAGGTTGTAAGACTTCAACTCCCATAATCCATGTCCAGCAGTAGCAATGATCAGAGATTCTGGCAACTGTCAGATCCCCATTTAAAGGGGCACAGTATCTGCATCCCCTGGTGGAAAAAGCCCATTAAAGTAGCAAAAACTGGGTTTATTCTAAAACCTCTTACTGGGAAATCTAATATAAATCTGCTCAAAATTAAGTCCCGTTGTATTCAGAGGAACCTACTTCCAGATAAGTCTGTATAGGATAACCTATTAATCTTTTGGAGCACCTTCACAATTATTCTGTTTATTGAATTTATATACCACACCCAATAGTCCCACATGGGACTCCCAGGGCAGTATGAAGAAGGTTGACAAAACTAAACATTGGAAATATCTGGACTTTTTCACAAGCATATGCCACTTCCATGCCTTGGTCTGGACTAATGATTATGGCAAGGTGAATAATTTTTTACACTTCTCTTTGCAGGTAAATACTCAAGTAGCCGTTTAAGAGCTTGCTATGCTTATTAAAATGAATTAGGTAATCAAATTAGTGGAAATACATAGGGAAGCAGAAGCAAATAGCAGGCAATAACTTTCTTGAGAGAAACCATATAGCTTCACAGTCTCCATTCTTAATTTGTTACAAACCTAAAAATTAGGCAATAGATGTGCCTACAGCAGAAGAGAGCAATCTGTAGTAAAATGAAGATTCTTTTATAATACCTTTTAAGCTTCTTTATATTCACTCTTTTTGTGCTCTGTATTGTTCTGGAATGGACTTTCCAATAATGTTCTGCTTGTGGTACCATGTGGTATTTTGTAGACATGCTTCTGCTGTCAGTGGTACTTTTAATGTTAACCTAATGACCTTTATAGTTTAGAGTTCCTGCAGAAAAACGGATTACTTTTGAGGACCAACTGAAAAGAAGACAACAAAACAAGTAACCCTGAATAGGATAGAAAGTCAAGTCTGGGGTGCCCCAACACGCTTTGATTTATGAAGGGATGGTTGGTTGATGGAAATTGACCTTCAAGGGATAGGACTGCTACCCAAAGATAGGGTTTGTTAATTGCAGAATATCCCGCAATCCAGCATTGGCTGCTGCTACTGGAAAATAGTGCATAAAATAAATACATTTGGAATCCATATTAACTCTCCTACATATAGAACCACTGCACCCTCATGGCTATATACCATTTATTAGAAGACAACAATGACAATTACACTAGAGGTTTTAACAGCAGTTTGTGACCTAGCTCTTGCATCTGTAATTAAAGATATTGGGTAAAAATCTTGACCCAAATGTGAGTATCACAAATCACTCTTCCTAGTGTTACCCATGCCTGACATTTATCCAACCTTGTACTAAATCTTCAGAATCAGCCCCAACTTAATTTAAAGTATGCAAACGCAGGGGAAAATAAATGTATATTTAACATTTTCAAGCAATGATCAGAGTAGCTAATGATCCGACCTGCCATTAAACCATCAGCATTTACTTTGAACTGCCCTGTTGTATTCAGCCCTTGTTTAATTTCTTCCTATAAGACAGCAAAGCCATATGAACACCTGGCAAGATATTACAACAGCTCCTTCTGTCTGCAGTTAATAGTTCTGTACAGTGTTTGTGATAATTCCTTAATTAGGTTGGAAAAAAAGTGACAGTGTAGTCAAAGGAGGACCAGTTCATGAAATCACACATTAAAAGAAGCAAGGCGACAACACAACCAGCTGGCAACAAATCTTTGCTTTATGTTATGTTGCCCTCTTCTATTGCAGCCATATTATGTCATTGAACAATTTGGCAAGAAGGAACTAGAGAAAACAATTAGGGACTTTGGAAAAGAAAGTGAAGCATATCTTTTCTGTGCTTGCTTTAACTGCAGAGTGTAATCTTGCCACTTAATCAGTGGCTTTGAGCTCTTAGCTGGCTCTTTCAAGGAGCTACACCAATAAAAATCATAAACACCAATAATAATGGGCTCCTTTGCATATAATACAAGTCTTTTTTTATTTAAGTTATGACTTTAGATAGGACTTGGCTACAGATGACTGCTTTCCAGAAGAGCCAAGAACTCACTATGCGTAGTCAAATCTGATGACAGATATATGGTTCTACTTAAATATTGCCGTCAAAAGATCTCTCTGTCATCTGAACTCTGAGAAATTAATAGAAATGCTCAGGATTTACTTTCCTCCACTCATTGAACCCATCCCCACATGCAAAGACAAACTAATATTGCAGTCCTCTATGTGTCGACCCAGAACATTCTGGGTAGCCATGTAGGGCTCTTTACAAGAGTTGTTTAGCCCACTGCTTTACCAAAGGACCTCAGAGCTGAAACTGCAGATTTGCCCCTGCAAGACAATGTTAAGAGTCCCCTGAACTGTGCCATGAGTGAGTGGTGATACGGCATAGTGATTAGGAGTGCTGGAGTGGGACTCAGGAAATCAGGGTTTTAATACAGAAAGTCACTGTGTACACTGCTTTGGACTCCTTGGAAGAAAATGGGCTATAAACGTGAATAATAGAGGAGGTGTAAGAAACTGAATGATCGGGATTTGTAGATGTCTGCAATGTTTTTGATGCCATATCCTGGGTTGTGCCCATTACTAATCTGAGTATCCATTACTATTATTAATTACAGTTCTATACCTCCTGTAGCCAAAGCTCTCTGGGCAGTTCACAACATTTAGGTCACTCATCCAGATTTCAACCAGGTCAGAACATGCTTAGCTTCCAAGATAAGGCAGGATCAGGCACTTCAGGCTATATGGAAGTTCACTATCCTTTGATGACTTATCCAATGAGCTGCCCATTGCTTGAAGGCAGAACACAAGGTTGTCCGTGTACCATTTCCAACAAAAGCAGAAAGCCTGGCAAAATCAAATCAGAAACCAAGCAATGTAGACTACAGTGAGCCACAAGCTCATCTTCATAGGATCATTGTAACCTGTGGTTGCAGATGAATTCTGATATGCCTTTTCTGAAAACTGGAGCTCCCTAGAGAGCAGAACTTGCTCAAAACTGGCCACTCCAGATGCTTTGGATTACAGCTTCTGCTATCCCTGGCCATGGTGGCTTGGGTTGGAATCTAGATTTTCTCATTTTAGCTTTGTGGAGCTTACTGCAGTGTGCTAGTGGTGATACCCAGAAAGAACCAGAGTCAGAAAATAACCCTAAAGATTTACTTAAGAACTGATGCAAACATTGCAGTGTCAGCAATGAGAGCACTGTAGGAGTGGAAAACAGAAGCATAGAATGAAAAATCTGAAAATGTAAATGTAGGGGGGACCCACAAGATGAATCAAATGGATAAGATATTAAAGATGCAGATATAAAGAGTGTAACGAAATACACAAAAAGGACTAATGGTTGCAATATGCAGTGCCTTTCCAGAAGACAGAAGCATCACCACTCATTAGGGAGATAAAGGGATGCCTCTTTGTACAGAATGTACAGAAGCCATTCCTTCATCCATTTGATGCAAGAGACCATTTTTCCTGTAATGCTGCATCCAATACCCATGTGTACCATCTCTCTAAAGCAGGGATAGGAAACCTGTGGCCTTCCAGACGTTGTTGGACAATATTTTCTATATTCCCCGAATATTGATTGTGTTGTGAGAGCTGATGAGCGTTGGAATCCAAGGACATGTGGGGAGCAGAAATTCTAAAAAGCCAACATTGACATCCTGTCTCAGCAAGTGTCAGCTTTTAAGGGAGTTTTGAGGATGTTATGAATAAGCTAGTTTTGTTCCTCAGTGAATACCATTAAAGAAAAGGCTCTGGGATAAGACTTGGAGGGCAATGCTGATGCTACTTCAAGGTGGGTATTAGAACCAGCTAAGTAATTCTCTCAGTATTGAAAGGCATCTAGTTCCAAGAAATTGACTTCTTTTCCTAGAAAGTCTCTTTTTAGTTTGGTATTTGAAAAGGCAGGACAGATTTTACTTAACATATGAGCAGCTCACATATTCCATGTAACATCCCCTGTGGGGAAATTCATAATCTCCAAATGGACACAGAGTTCCCCTATTCCACATACCTTCCCATGTCTCCCTCAGAATAAAATATTCCATGTGCCCATGAGGTAAAATTTATTTTCTTGGATTATGCAGAGAGTGGCATTCCAACCTATTTTTCCATTTCTGCTACAGCACTATATGATGTGCTTTTTGATCTAGAAATATATTATACTTGTGCAATCTAATGCATGTCTTCTTGGAAGTAAAGCCCACTGACTAGGCCTGGATAGAGTGAGGCAGGTACTTCAGGGCACAGATTCTCAGTGTCAAAAAAAGGATAGCCAATTGTTGGTTATTTAATGGTGTTTTTACTCCAGAAAGGAGGTGTTCATGAGATTTTCTTCCCCTGCTGGCTAACAATAACACCATGAGTTTGGGGGAAGGTTGGCATCATTTGCTCTTCCAACTCAAATGCAAAATGTTTTCAGTCAGCCCTACCATGGATTTCAATGGAACTTATTCCCAAGGAAGTATCTTTAGGATTGCAACCTTATACCCTGTTCTTTCTTCATATTGGTCAAAGTGACTTGCATGTGGCTCCTAGACATTCTTCCATATAGGCAGTTGCTTAAATTAAATCTATGGCTTTATCTGATCAACACCACCTCATGGAGTCCAGGACTTTATTCTGTTCCTTTTCTACTGCTACCATATCCAACAAAGAATTCACACAAGCAAGAGACAACATTTTCAAAAAGTAAAATCGTTCTCTAAGTCATGAATAGATCTCTTTTTCCAATTCTTTGGTATCAACATCAAATGTTTCCAAGCAAGCCTTATTTCAAAAATATTTTAATGGCCAAGAATTCAAATATCATAACCTGAGGAAACCAGATGTCTGGGTTTGAACCAGCATCCGGCTAAAAGTGGGAGAAAACCCTTTAAAAAAGGAGTTACTTTAGTGTTTGTGATTAATTGTGATGCTGTCCTAGTCCAGACTGATGCTGTCTCAGATAATTCCCATCAATTACCAGTGCTGTATAATATGCTCTTCAGTTGCTGTTGATCTGAGCACACTGCCAAGTATACTATGTTGTGAGAAGGGCTTTGGGCTGCTATCTGCTAGGCAGTGTGCTGAGGCACTGAAATTAAACCTACTCCTGAAAATAACAGTAAAATACAATGAAGACAGCTTGAAAGCCACGGGGCCAGGCGCTGGACCTGGGCAAAGATGTTGATTCTAATTCTAACCCAGACATGAAGCTCATGGAGTGACTGGACTAGTCATTGACTCTCAGCCCAACATACTTCACAGGGTTGTTATGAAAAAATGGAAAGGAAGAGGATCAGGTACATCACCTTGGATTGCTTGGAGGAATGTGCAGGATATAAATGTAATAAATTACTTTTATTCTTCCTACTAAGGAAGAATTGTTCTACCCAGAACCCAGTTTTTAAAAATTGCATGGTTTTGACAATCCTGTCTTCTAGCACCTTCTTTCTTAAAGACTAATGAGACATCAATTGCTTTGATTAGGACATAATTCAGGTTGGATGCAAGGGAAGGGACTGCAATTTTATGTGCACTTTCCTGTGTGTAAGCTCCATTAAACACAGTGGGACTTACTTCTGAGTAAAGGTGCCTAGGATTGTGCTGGGGAAGTAAACAGGTATAAGATAAGCCCTTGTAGGAACATGTTCATAATTTATATCTGATCACCAGATATTTATAGAAATCCTACCAGAAAAGCCAAGTTTTCTTTACTCTGTTCAACATATTACAGTCTTTACTGTCTAAAACACTTCCTAGTAAAGATGGTATGCAAATATGTTGCTGCTATCTGAACAGAAAAAGAAACGCAAGGTCCAGCTTTGCATGCATAGAGATGAAACAGCTGCTAACTAACAAGAATATAATTAACAGTTTCAAAAATGAGGTATTTTCTAGAAAACAAATCAGGATTTCCCCCCTCCCATTTTGGTAGGATGCCTTCTAGGTGCCCTGCAAACCCTAACAGGACCAGGAAGTAGGATGACTGGGTGACCTATGTTACAGAGGAAAATCTCCTGTTTGAAGGGATG